TGGTGGGGCAGGACCTCTAAGTCCGCTACTGGGGTGGACAGACAGTTTACCCAAGTCTGCAACAAGAACGTTATTATTATTATTATTATTATTATTATTATTATTCAGATAGAAATGGGCATAAAACAGTTTTGTGTATAAATTCAAATGCAAACAGCTTTTATCGTACCCTTATTTAAATTACACTACATTTTCTGCTTTGTTTTAAAAATATTACAAAAATATGCACCGCAAAGAATGACACTAAAACCTGCATAAGCTCGTTTTTTAGTTGCACCAAAATATCTTGCAAAAAAAAAAAAAAAAAAAAAAAATAGACCTGCAAATCTAAAGGTAACCCGAACCTTCATAACTACATGTAAAATAATCGCCAAACACCAGTACCCTCGGTCGCTTCATAATGAACTGACCACGCTACAAAACAGTTATTTATATATATGTACTACACTCAACTCGGTAGCCCAGACTGCTCTGACAGTTCTATCCCCACACCCCTGTACGTGTGCGTGTGTAAAGACAGATAAACGAAGATTAAAACATGATACGGTATACCGAAACCATATTGGACTGAACAGGCTCAATGAAAACTAAACCCATTACTGTACATGTCTTTAAAATATCAACTATAATATTTCAGGGTTGATTAAAATTTGCTTACAAAAGTGTAGCTTTGCTCAACCAACTGCGAGTTTCGTTCTATCGTTTTACACTGAAGCGAACAGTAAATTTCGTTGCGGCGCAAATTAATTTCCTAGATGACTTTAGAGTTTGTCTTATCTTGTAGCATGATTTCATCCTTGAGATCTCCTGGTGGCTGTTCTGTCATGAGGGATATGCCGTGTGCTGGATCTGGTAAACTGGACCCGCTGCTGAAAAAAATTGAAAATTTTGACATTATGACATAACAGCAACTATCCTTAATAAGTTATGATATACGTAAAATACAGTTTGTTCATTTAGCATGGACAGCTTTGTCACGAGAGAGAGAGAGAGAGAGAGAGAGAGAGAAAGAGAAAGAAGGAGAAAGAGAAGAGAAATTCTTTGAAATCCTTACGTTGGTTTCACACCAACATCATTAGCATCCATCAATGTCTCTGGGAGTTGCTTGTTGCGAGTCTCTGGCAGAAAAAGGGAGCTTATTCCGGCAAGCAACGCCACCACGCCAAATATTATCCATGGTATAGTGTTCCCAAGTTGGGCATTTTTTTCAAATGCTTCCTGAAAAAAGAGAGTTGTTAATTTGTTTCTCTCTGTTGAACGGTTTAATGGTTAAAATACTGCATACAGATTTAAATAAAATATACAATATACCATAAAAATGACCAAAGTAGTGATATACATTTATGTTAGAGATATATCAAAAATCGTCAAGAAATTTTCAAAAATTTTGCTAGATTTAAAGCGCATTGTACATTTACAAATTATTTTGTACTACTTCAACCTTTATTTTTTATGGTTTTAATAAAATCATAATTATCATAGTGTTATGAATAACCAAGAAAATTCACAAAAGTGAAAAAAAGCATAAAAATTACGTACCACTATCAGCGGTGCAAACACGGCGCCCACCCTACCACTCACGTTGCACATGCCTACCACGAAATTTCTGAGGGGCGTCGGGGAAAATTCCCCACTCCACATAAAGAAAATGGCGAAGGCTGTGGTGATTCCAGTTTTGCCAAGCATAAAGAGAGAGGTTTGAGCAACGTCCGTTGACAGTATCCCTGATATATGAAGCATGGAGAGAATATGTAAATCATAATTTGGTGCCAGGAAACGTTTTCATTGCCCTCAAAACAATGTGAAAGAGGTAGAGCTATTACTATTACGAAATTGTATATTTATCAAAAATTTGCACATTCAAGTTTACATATATCTCAAATTACTATTCTTTTCTATGAGACTGCCCAAGAATACTTATCCAATTACTGACAATTTGTTTATAGAAACAAAGGTCTCAATATTATGCTAATAAATGATGTTCTTTTTCCTTTATATATCTGATATAGCTTTCGTATACTTGTAGACGCTGCGCATATCAAAAACATTTACTGGTATTACCTTTCTGAGCATAGAGCTCGACAAATATAGTGGAGATCATAGCAACTCCGGCGACCATCATGCTAATAGCATGTGGCCATCTTCTTCCCAATTTATTGATGACGAAACAAATGCAGTAAGCCGGGTATTCAGTTATGGCCATAAGGAAATAATTCACGAAGAGATCACCGGCAAGAGTGCCCGGGTTTAGGGCGAGACCATACCATACCAAAGCTATGACAAAACTGAAAAATACATGTAAGAATGGCATCCTCATAGTTCAATAAATAAATTAATAAATCACACCAGCAGCCGACAGGGAGAGAGAGTGTCCGAATTGAAGCCCCTAGGCATTTTCAAAAAGAAGATAACGAATAGGGGCCTACATAGATTCCCGATTTCTTCTATCCATTTTGCCTTAAACTCCGATTGTTCATGACTGTTATTTATTTAGAGAATGAAGCCCACGGCACAAACAATCACATTACTTAAGTAATGAATGTGGGGGATTAAAACGCTGCCAACCCTGTTACTGATCACGGAGGTAAATGTATGTTACAATGCATGCACCTTTCATGTTTCATGTTTTCTCTATGCTAAACCAAGGAGTTATAACAGAAGGAGATTACACGCAAGCCTTTCTTTT